AAATACATATTGGGGAGATAACAGTTTATCTGGCTTACACTTCCATGTCATCAAAGGTAGTCAGGACAGGAACTTGAACAGGGCAGAGACCTGGAGGAAAGAGCTGATCCAGAAGCCATGGAGGGGTGCTCCTTATTCTATTGCTCTCTATGACTTGCCAGGGCTTCTTTCATATAGAACTAAGAAGGACAGCACTTATATTGTTAGTAGTTGAGGCAAGGGTAGTTCTTTGCTCATTAGGCCATTTAGTACCAAGAACACAAACTTCCAAATGGAATTGTCTTCGAAGCCCGATGTTCTCTTGGGATCAAATTATTTCTGCCAGGAACAATTGTGTCTCATGTCAACAGAATTCTGTTATTTAAATGCCATCTACTGTAGGTCTATGAAGTGTTTGAAGATTACCTGTCCATCCGACATATGTATCTCTAAATCTGGATAACCTAACTAACATAACAATAGACAGGACAAGCATAGGTGACTATAAATCTCTAAGTCTTATCCACCTAAATACACTAAGGACTAAGGCTTCATGTAAACAAGCGAAAAGGTCTATAAGCAAATGTATAGTAAAGGACGATGACTTCAAAATTGTGACAATACACAAGATATGTATAACAGAGGTAGGAATGTATAGTGCAATATGCTGTGCTTATCTCATTTCATGATACACCTTAAAGGATTTATTAAATTTTTACTCTCCTCATTTACTATATTTTTGAATAAGAGTTCCTGTTTGTATATTAAAATAACTTCAGTACAAACTTAATATTTTTAAGGCTAAAATGATGGGTATAAAACAAAAGTTCTAAGCTTATAAGGGCAACTAACTTGTAAATTGTTAAGAATAAGTTTAATTTAAATAAAGATAATTAAGAAATAAAACTTATTGATTGATTGGCCAACCTAAACTGTAAACTGTTAATAATAAGTTGTACCAAAGCTATAGGCTAATAGAGATAATTATTAGGATAAAATTTAAACTTGATCATCAAAAATGATCAGATTTTCTAATATATACAAAATCATATTTATATGCCTGCTAAGTGTGCTAAATTTCATATAATCAATTCATTACTTAGCCCCCTAACATTTAAAATGTTTAAGCTTTGGACAAAACTGCCATATCCCTTATTGCCAGGGTTTTGTCCAAACTATGCATTGAGATAATTTAGATTATATTTCCATTTACCAGGTTTAAAGATAATTTGCCTTACTTTCCAATTTCAAGTAAAAGATAGCTCACCTAACAGATTTCAAAATGACCCTCTACTGCTCTTTTATTAAAAGAAATTCACTTTACATTGGCTATTCTCAATAATCACAGAGCACAGGCAGCAGGCAGCAGAAAGCTTGCAATGAGTCTGGCAGGGAGCGGCTGCACAGCTGCTACTTCGGGGACCCAGGGTGCCGCTGAGAGGGCTAGGCGGCCCGTGAGCATCATGGGGCCTCGATGCAGTGGTTTCAGGACTTCAGCTGGCTCACAAAACTGTGGAGTAGAGGCTTGGCTGCATGGGAACTAGGCATGGCTTTGTGCTAGAGCGGGTTGTGAGCACTGTGGGGCCCAGACATGGCCGGCACGTTCTGGCTGGGCTCCTGTCTGGACATGGGGCAGAGCTGGCAGGAGCCAGGAGCCTCAAGGACCTCAGTGTGGGGGCTGGTAGAGAACTAACTGCCCCTCCAGGGTACAGCTGAGGAGTGACCTACAGGTCTGTGGGCCCAGCCAGGACATGGATCTTTATATCCCTATAAAAACTTTATATCCAAAAGCATCTATGTATTAAATTTGTCAGGAGAAATAAGTGATTGATTATTGAGAATGTACATGAAACTCCTTAGCTCATACACTTTATTATTCTGTGATAATTCTCTCTCTACACAGTTTCTATTTTGCTCTCATGTTTAGCTCCTTTCTTGCCTGATTTCTCTATATTTTCGACTGTCCCCTCTAGTTTCTATCTTAATTCCTTCATCTAGTTCTGTCCCTTCTAGGTTCTCATCTATCTAGGTCTTTCCCCTATCAGCTCCTCTCCCGTCTCCTGTCTCATCTGGCTCTTTCTCATCTTGTTCTTCCCCATCTGGCTCTTCCTCATCTTCCATCTCGTTCCTCTTGTCCTCTCTTCTAGCCCTTCAGTCTAGTTCTTCCCCATCTCAGTTCGTTTTTCTCAAGTTCTTGCCCATCTAGTTCTTCCATTCTCTTTTATCTTCTCTCCTGTGCCCTGGAAGTCCCGGTATATAAAGGGAGGGTCTGAGCTAAATTGTATAAAGCTATTACTTAACATCCACCTCTCCTAGGTGGTGTCTCCTTGTGAAATTTACCATAAATCAGGAGACTTGCATGTGGGCTGTTATCATTGTTAATCCACCTGGGACTAACAATGGGCACCCACCTGGGTGGTGTTTCCTGTAGTCCTTGAAAGTGGTTAAGGGAGATAATCTGATTCCAGAGAAAGCCTTCTGTTAGTCCTTCTTAGGGAAAAGTCAACTGGAAAAACTATGAAGGCACACATGATTTTCATAACAGAATACAGCTGATACATAACAAGCCAAGTAACACCAAAAACTCCTTGGGATTTGGCTTCCTCTGGAGGAATTCCCTGATTCCTCCAGGTAGTGGCTTTGCCATAACCAGCTGACTTCTTAGGATATTCCTGTGGCCCACAGCAAAAGCCTTAGGGACCACCTTCCTCAGCCTGCTGGATGATGACAAGGACTCATGTACTGGGAGATCAGTCTGGACTTTACCAATGTTGCTCAGCTAGTTCCATCTCACCATGACTCCCTACATTCTCCCTGTGATTCCCAGACTCTGCAACACTTTACATGTTACAACTTCTGATGTGCCTCCAATATCACAAGTATACACCAGGGCATGTAAGCTCACTGTGAAAGGGGAAAATAACCAGTGTGGAACCTGGGGTGATGGCAGGAGGAGGGTAAATGGACTTAGTAGATAGTTTTGAGCTTCTGGACCAAAAGTCAGTTATGGCAATGAACATGAGTACAGTGCAATATTTAACAAAGGCAGGGTATGTTGTGGATAGAACATTCTGCATAGAATGACCATCATTTTTTCTAGAGATAATTTAAAAATGACTGAGCCTTCTGGAGTATGCAGAAATTGTGGCAAAGGCTTTTATTGTACTGCTGAATTCAGATCATGAAGGGGCAGTCAAGGTAACCCTTTGACATTGGGAAATGTTCTGAGTGGGCCTTTTGCAGGCCCCAATATCTAATTTGATCCAATCATTATCTGTCAGTATCAGAACCCCCAAAGTTGGATTACACAGTTGTTTATTAACTTCAGAAATTTTACATGCCCATGAGAACAGACAATAGGTACAGAGAGATACTTTATACTACAAAGAACTTCTGAATTGAATTAGTTTGTATATGTGTGCTATTTATTCAGTCTTGTGTAGATCATTTATTCTTCATGTTGATCTTTTTTTATTTTTTCTGTTGTTGATACCATTTAGAGTTAGACATTTTATTGGACTTTTGATGAATCTGTAGCTCAAATCTGAACTGACATAGTAATGAAGCTTTCTGTCTACAGTCATGGAATTCTATCCTTTTATCTACTTCCTTGATTCTTTTAATCACTAATTTATCGTTTTACCTACAGGTATTTGTCACATTTCTATGTATGCCTGGCTGTTTATCCATGGTGACATATAATTCATTTGGGGTTAGTGTTTTAATTTGCTGAATTTATTTATTTTATTTCAACTGTATTGGTGTTTTGCATCCATGTATGCATGTTCTCCATGAGTGTTTGGTGTGCACAGAAGACAGAAGAGGGCATCAGATCCTCTGCAAGAAGTTGTAGGCATGATTGTGCATCACCAAGTTAGATCTGGGGATGAAACTCACATCTTCTCCAAGAGCAATATGTGGCCTTCACTGCTGAGCCATTTCTCCACTCCTAAACTTGACAGATTATCAGAATTGTGTGTGTGCATGCAGATGCTAACACTGAAAATTGAGTGTTCAGAGAGTTGAGGTTTGATTAAAATTGGGTGTTTCTTCGCTGGTGATGATTCAGTAGGTATCAGATTGTCATGTAGGCAAAGATTGTCCGCTTTCATTGTAAATCTCCACAAGAGTGACCACAAATAACCACTGTGTAGAATAAATACTAGTCTGTCTTGAAATCTCTTCTCCCAATGCCATTAATCTAAACCTCTTCTATTTAGCCTCCTTCAGAAAGCAGGGCCCAAAGTGACCACATTCTTTGTCACAATACCACTGGAATGGTCTCTATGGCACTTACTGATATTCTCCACTAACTTCTCTTGAGAGGACCATCATTGTCTCTGCACCACTGCCTCCAAGCTCTTTCTAATATGCCCACTCTCCCTCCCTTAAAACATTCAACCACTTTCTTAATCCAAAGTGCCAAAGTCCACAATCTACGAACAAGCAGCATGGTCTGGCCTGTCACAGATGTACCCTGTTCCCTGCACCAGTTTCTGGCTCAGTGTGTTCTATTGCTGTGAAGAGACAGCATGACTAAGGCAAGCATTTTAAAGGAAAGCATTTCATTAGAGTTTCAGATGTTTGTTCTATTATCATCATGGTGGGGAGCATGGCAGCACCCAGGCAGCCATGGTAGCTGATATTTCTACATCCAGATCCACATACAGCAGGAAAAGAGAAAAGGAGTGGGCCTAGCTTTGGCCCTTGAAACCTAAAAGCTCACCTCCGGTGATAGACTTACTCCACCAAGACCACACTTTATCCAACAACACCTCACCCCCTAATTCCTCCTTAGTAGCATCACTCCCTAATGTCTAAGCTTTCAGACATATAGGCTAAGGGAGGCCATTCTCATTCAACACACCACAGTACCTCTCTTTTTTATTGCATTTTTTATACATAGGTCACCAATTTGTGTTTCTTACATTTCTGATGTCTCTCAGTCATTAAGAACTTCTTTTGATTTTTCACAAATGGTTATTTATTTCTTTTTAGAGCTAGTTGTCAGGTAGGTGTCTTAGTTTTGGTTTATTTGCTGTGATGAGACACCATGAAAAAAATACATATTGGGGAGATAACAGTTTATCTGGCTTACACTTCCATGTCATCAAAGGTAGTCAGGACAGGAACTTGAACAGGGCAGAGACCTGGACGAAAGAGCTTATCCAGAAGCAATGGAGGGATGCTCCTTATTCTATTGCTCTCTATGACCTGCCAAGGCTTCTTTCATATAGAACTCGGAAGGACAGCACTTATATTGTCAGCAGTTGAGGCAAGGGTAGTTCTTTGCTCATTAGGCCATTTTGTACCAAGAACAGAAACTTCCAAATGGAAATGTCTTAGAAGCCCGATGTTCCTTTGGGATCAAATTATTTCTGCCAGGAGCAATTGTGTCTCATGTCAACAGAATTCTGTTATTTAAATGCCATCTTCTGTAGGTCTATGAAGTGTTTGAAGATTACCTGTCCATCCGACATATGTATTTGTAAATCTGGATAACCTAACTAACATAACTATAGAGAGGACAAGCATAGATGATTATAAATCTATAAGTCTTATCCACCTAAATAACCTAAGGAATAAAGCTTCATTTAAACTAGGGAAAAGTTTTATAAGCAAATGTATTAGTAAAGGACGATGACTTTAGAATTGTGACAATACACAAGATATGTATAACAGAGGTAGGAATGTATAGTGCAATATACTATATGACAATAACCTTAAATAGATATCAATACACAGAATATCCTAAAAAGAAGTAAAACATACATACAGTATGACAGATGTAAATTTATATTTGTATCAATATATAAATATTTCAATAAGAGTAGAAATATATGTACATTATAACAAATATAGTTCTGTATTTGTATTAATATACAAATTATCTTAAACAGGAATATAAAAATAGTTTACATTAGTATCCACATATAAGAATCCATAACAGTACAAATTATCTAAGACTGCTATTTTACTAAATTTGTTTACTAGCATATACAATAATCTACCATAGTATCTTCTTCCTATCCATTCTATTCCTTCTTTCCCCCTTTTTTGAGACACTTTTTCTGAAGGAGAATACTGAGTTTAATATTTTCTTCCACCCCCAACCCTATAACCACCACCTATAACCCTGAGAAATATGAAACCTTAGGGAGAAGGTGCATTGTTTTCTTAGAATTCCTTCCTGCAGTTCAGGGGGTGACAGTATCTCTTTTGGGTAATGTAAGAAAGCTAAAACATAGTTAAATCTCAGTTAGACTAACTGTAGATTCCACAGCAAGTCTCAGAGTAATGGGTAAGATTGTATGAAATTTTGGCAAGAGTGTAGTATGATGATGATTACCATGGCATCATTCTGGATTGAGTAGAGTTGTTCTTGTTGGGGCCCCATCTTCCTTCTGGAGACTCAGAGATTGCTATTGGAAAAATTTATTTTTTATCAAATGAAAGTTTGGATTTAAAGATGACATGACATGTAAGAAAGGATTCTGAGAAATCAAGAGTAAGAAAAAGGACCCATTCAGTATTCTTTATGAATTTTATTCTCTTGCTTTTGGGATAATGGTTATTAATCTCTCCCAAAAGGTTACTGCAGGCTCTCTGCCAGTATTCATTATCTTTCCATAGTGATGAAATTTCCTCATTAGTTAAAGGTACTCCAATTTCTGCTGGGTGCATTCCTGTCAACTGGTGAAGTCTCAATTTACCTTTTTGAATCAAATCAGGGATCTTTTCTATATGTCTTTAATTTCTTATTTCGTTTATTTGGTGGTAGGAATATCCATTCCAATATAATATCTTCCCTCTGCATCAAAATACCTGTGGGGGAATGTCTGGATGGGGAATAGGACAAGAATGCATTTAAGTTCTGGATCCACATGATCCACATGTGCTTCTGGAATTGTCTTTTCTAGTAGAGCCAATTCCTTCTCAGCTTCAGCTGATAATTCTGTTGAACTATTTAATTCTTTGTCCCCTTCTAGAGTATTAGCCAAATTTTGTAGTCCATCTTTGGGTATTCCCACAATACCCAGTAACTTGGAAATGCTTCCTAACAAATTTTGAAAATTCTTAAGAGTCTTCAATCAATCTCTCCTTTGTTGTACCTTTTGGGGTCTATTTTTTTGTAGCTCTATCTTATATACTAAGTAATTAGTAGAAATCTCCTCTTTGTATATATTTCAGGAGCAATTTGCAGTTCCCAGTGAAGCAAAACTTTTTTTACTCCTTCAAAAATGCTTTCTAATGTGTCTAACTTTGGATTGGCTAATAGGATATCATTCATATCCTATTAATATAAATTATGGATTGTGGAAACTTTACATGAATTATCTCTACTGGTTTTTGCACAAAGTATTGGCACAAGGTAGGGCTGTTTAACATTCCCTGTGGTAGGAGTTCCATTGATATCACAGTATAATTACGTACTGTGAAGGCAAATTTTTCTCCATCATTTTCTTTTAAGGGTGTGGTAAAGAAACAGTCTTTTAAGTCAATAACTATTATATGTCATTCTTTGGGTAGCAGATAGGGCAAGGGCATCCCAGTCTGTAGGGAGCCCATTGGCTGAATTACTTTATTAATACCTCTCAGATCTGTCAGCATTCTCCAATTATAAGACTTTTTTTTTAAATAACAAATACAGAAGAGTTCCAAGGGCTGGTAGATTCTTGAATGTTTTGAGCATTTAACTGCTCTTGAACCAGCTGTTCTAAAGCTTGTAACTTCTCTTGTCAAAGGCCATTGTCCACCCCAGACAGGTTTATTAGTTAGCCATTTTAAAAGTAAGGCAGTTGGTACTTATGGGAGTTCAACAGCATTTGTGCTCTGTTTGTGTACAGATTGAATAATTGGTGACTTTTTTATAGCATGTTATGATGTTATTCCTAGAAACATGTGTTGATCTGTATTCCTTTTCTGAGAGTGTAGGAATTTTAATCTGGGTATTCCACTGTTGTAACAGATCTCGGCCCCAAGGATTTACTGCTACATTTGCTACATATGTCTTCAGCCTTCCTCTCTGTCCTTCTGGCCCTATGCATTCAACCCATCTCAAATTCTGTTTTATCTGAGATAGGATTCCATTCCCTAGAAGTTGGACATCTACCTCTTTAAGAGGCCAATTCCAATGCCATGGTTTTGGTATAATTATAATCACAGCTGTACCTGTGTCTACCAGGCCCTCCAGAACCAGGCCATTAATTTGAATTGTAAGCTTTGGTCTTGGTTCATTTATGAAAGTCAGCCAAAATATTTGTTTTGTTTTGTTCTTTGGAAATTGTGATTCATTTATCAGAGGTGTTTTATCATGCATTGCAGCATTGATTTTTACATTAGGCATTGGTGTATTCAGTTGTCCTGGAGAGGAGTTTCTTCCACAGTGGCTGGAAAGGTTTGTAGCATGTTTGATTTGGGGGCCTGGAAGAAGACCTCCAGGTTGTTTTGTGTTTACCCACCAACCCCACTGCTCCCCAGGGTTTTCTTGAGTGTGAGCAGCAGGAAATAGTAGATATGTTTTATATTGTGGAGAATATTGTGGATATAAATAGAAAATAAAGGATAGCCTCAAGACAGCCTGGAACCTTTTCCAATGGGCCCTGACTGTCTCTGCCCCAGGGTATTTATAGAGATGCCAAGGGGGTGGAGTAATAGGCCTCCCCCCCCACACACAGCCAAGTGCAGACCATCTCAAACGCCTGCACTGAG